ATATAAAATGTTATTTAATTTTATTTTCTTGACATTATAGTTGAATGTTTAAAACAATTAGATCCTTCAAATAACGATAAATAATATTATTTTAGTTCATGATTCCTTTTATAGGAATGGGAAAAATTTTTATTATAAGCATAAAATTATTATATTTTACCGATTATTCAAATTTATTGAATAAAATATTATAAAAAATTTAAAAATTCTAAACTAAACATGTTTTCATACTTTTATTTTGAGAAACATTTTTTTTCAGAATGACAAATCAAATGTATTTTTGTAATATCTTAAAATAGACTCTCAAAATAGAAATTGAATATGAATTCAAAATTAAAATGTGTAACATATATATTTTTTTAATTTAATATTCATTATGTGTTCATTCACGTGAATCAAACTTATTTCTTATCAAATGCAATCGACATTGTTCATAAATGGTCGACAATGAAATTTAAACTCGAAACCTCGTGATAGTACTTTATGGCCTGCTCAAGAGTTTTGGGGTATCGATTTTATGGATTTTTTAAAATAGATTTTAGGAGTTTATGAGGGGTCTAATTTTGGGTGACTTATAGTATAGTTTTTAAAGCAGTTAAACTCGTACTTGAGAGTTTATTTGCCTTACATTTCCGAATTTTTTAAAAATAATTAATTAAATATATAGCTCTTAGCGAAATTTTCAATTTACAAAATACTTATATAAATTCTTTTACTCATAAGTGATACTTTACTTATAAGTTACTTTTATATATAAGTTCATTTTTTATTTAAAAAGTGAAATATTTACTTATAAATAAAATTTCAAGTTATAAGAAACTGTTTACTTATAAAGTAAATTTTACAATTACAAGTTAACTTTGTACTCTTAAATTTATATTTTGTAAGTGAATCTTTATAAGCAATTTTTAAAATAAAGTTAAATTTTGTATCTTATAAGTAATTTTTATCACTTATAAGTACCTTTTTTAATTATAAAGTAATTTTTTTTTTGCTTATAAATAATTTTTTAGTTAATGTATTTTTATTTTCAAGTTAGTTTTGAAAATAATTATTTTATAGAGGATAAAATTAGAAGAGAATTTAAGAAGTATTCAAAATTCACCGATTTGATTGATTGAAAAATAGGTCAAAATTACATTATACAAAATCGAAACCTAAAAAATTAATAGATACCGATTTTCTTAACATCTAATAACGAGTGTCACACAAAATAGTCAAAATCGGTGAAAAAAACTCTCAAGTAGGCCCTTAATCGTTTGATACGATATTCTTACATTTTCTTACAACTTACAAATATTATTTACTTGATACAGAAAAGTCTTGTGTAATATGTAATTAACTAATTTGATAATATTAATATTTTTTTGAATTTTGGTTTAACCGTACAAGTTTAATTGTGTATCTGCAGGATTTTGGTAAAAAGTGATATCGGGTGTTGATGGCCAATTCATTGGATGGGAATTCAAGAAGGGGGGGAAAAGTAAAGAAAGATGTGAATCACCTCTTTTCAAGGTGTTATAAAAGAAGAAAAGTAGTTTTCTATTACGCTATTTCTTCTTTTGTTAATAAACGATTCTGCAACATTTAAATCATAACTTATAGATTTGTTAGCAAGTCGTCCGCATGGTGGTGGTGTGAAGGGAAAGGAAGGCAAGGGAGGAGGCGGTGTTGATGGTATAAGTGTTATTCCCTAAATCTAACTAATTAATTTTGGATATAAACACTTTTAATATATGTAATTGATACATATTTATGGTAAGATTTATTATTTAATTGAATTAATATTCTAATAAATTAAATAATAGAATCTGTAGATTCAAATTTTGGTAATTTGTTAATTACAAGAAGTTGTGATTGTGAGATACAAATTACATATAACTGAATCTTAAATCGTTTGTGGTCGTATTTAATAACGAGATACGGATATCGTTATTACGGGTAGACTATCACATGTGACATTTTTTTACTTGTAAAGTAAGTAGCTAATCTTACAACCTAAAGTATGGTGACACTTGAATGAATACGTGCATATTTTGTTATAGAACAAAACATTGGAAACCCGTTGAGGAGATTTCACATGGATAACTATTTGAGTGTTAGTGGTTAATCTCTAACTTTTGGTAGATGATCAATAGATGATTTGTCACTATTAAATAATAAGAGATTATGATCTACATTTCATTTAATTAAGTTAATAGTGAAATTCTTGATCAAAGTGTACTCATAAGTCGAAAATGAGTTTTCGACTTACATTGACTTAAATGGGATGGAAGATATGATCGATAATTGAGATTAACATATATCCATATATCGTAATTGATCGGATCATATTGGCGAAATGATTATAATTTTACAGTAAACAAACAAATTTTATTTGTCATACTACGTGACATTTTCTGTCACATGTATTGTACTGACACATTACTAGATGTTAATCTAGGACGATTGATTTGAATTGATGATAAATTAAAAAGGGTATTTTAATTTATTGATTTTGATTAGATCAAAATAATAATAATTCATGTTGTTAGGTATCATGATCGGAAACTTAAAGTGTCACACACAAAAGGAGATCTAGAATAATGAGATCGAAAACCAAATAATTAATTGACAAGTGTTGGAGAATTAATTAATTAAGTTGTTTGTTAATATCCTTGAATTAATTTAATTAATTCATTGGCCAAATTTAATTAATTGGATTAATTAATATTGGATCTGCTTAAGTTTAAGAGACAGATCAAGTCCACTTGAACTTATATTAATAAGCCATTATGATTTCAGAAAAATAAAACATAACACAATTTATATTCTTATTAATGCAAGAAAAGAGAAACCATAATTCTCTCATCCTTGTTTCCTGTGTGGATTTTTATTGGAGGCATGATAATTGAACAATTGTGAATTGCAGATCATGATTGCTCGAATTCCAAAATCAGCAAAAGAGTTTGCAAAATTTACAAAAGGTACAATTTATATCACAATTTCTTTCTAAACACAAAGAAGATCCTTAGTGGGAATTGAAATTTGTATTATTTTCTGCTGTGTATGTTATGTAAATTCTCAATAGGTGGAACGAGGTTGGGTAGGAGTAGGGTAATGATAGATGGAGAAGAAAAAGGATTTTCATTTTTTTAAAAAAATTATTTTAAATGGAATTCGTTTACACTTTTAAAAAAAATTAAAACTCTATCTACAATTATTTCTTTATTTATTTTTGTTTATCATTTCGAAGAGATGAACAATTTGCACTTCGTGTGCTTTATATGAGGGTAAGATGCATCAAATTGAAAGGATACGAGTATTTTGCAAAATATTTACTTGCTCTGAGGAATTATTGCACCGGAATGAAAGGATATAGTTGTTTTGCATTGTATATTTTTATTTTTCCCCTCCCTTCAGTGTTGGAATTTTGGCTTATGTCAGTTTAATCATTTGATTTTTTATTTAGTTCAGCTAACTACGTTCGGTCAAGAATTTCTGTAATTTATTGTCAATTCAATTCGTATTCCCATTTTTTTTCCAAATAATTTAAAAGTTTTATGAACAACATGCAAAATTTCATACTTCGATTAATAATGCTCCACACGTTTGTTTGACCAAAACTTTGGCCTTTCTATAATTAAAGTTGGGGGCCCATAATGGGCCATTTTAAAAAGGATTGGACCTACCCACTCTCCGTTTGTGATTCATAAACGGCCCTCCACTTGGCTTGAAAACACTGTTACTGCTGATTCTTTTGACTTTAGAAGGTGTAAACATAGGACTTAAATATCAAAATTCTATATTTTACAAGACTTCAATAAAACCCTAATTTGGTTTGAAACCCCCATTCAAACCGAAATGATTTTTTTTGTCAATCATCATTGACCCCTTAAAGAGGGTTGGCCAAGTGATGTCAACATGACAATTCCTCGATTACATCTGTGTGAATTTTGAGTAGGTCAACCACGAACTTTTGAATAACAATATTTCTAGAATGAGAAGACATTTATCTTATTTGGATTATTCATCATTGTTTTAAATGCTTACAATATGATCCATAACAAACATCAACATGGACCCTCGAAACCTTTGTACCGTACCATCTAGATTATGAAATGGGTAATTGAAATCAATGTGGGAACTTCTAGACTAGGCTTGCAAAGATTCCCGATCAATCACGATGCTTATGTTATGATTTTTCTAGATTGACCACAATCCCTTGTTTTCATTTTTCTTATTTGAATACTAATCAACTCGAAGAATCTTCTTAGCAGATCAATTGGATCCAATTAGTTTTTACTTGTATTATGGACAAGAAAACTATTAGTTTTGACAAAAAGCAATATATGCCACTTCTTCTCAAAGAAGAAGCTCAAATACTTTCTTTGTGCTCGTAATAATTAGTGATGACTCTTTTTTTTTTGAAGCACAAAGATCCCAATTCAGATTCATTATTTTCTCTAAAGGTAGTGATAACGTTTTACGAGAGTATTACATTGTACCCCATTAATTACTTTTACTAATTTCTTGTTAGTGTTTGACTTAGGTACAAAGTCACAAAATAATACTGTGAAATCTTAGTTGAACCAAAAAAATTAGATTAGCAGACACTGTTGCTGGCCACTGTCGGCTGGCTGTCATGCAAGACGACCATATTTGTTTGATGCACATTAAAATGGAAAGAATGTATTTTTTTTGTGATGTGATGGTGAATACGTGGTTGAAAAAGAAGAAAAAATTATTAATGTGATGAAAAATATTATTTTATTAGAAAATGTGTTGTTGAAAATGAGTAAAAAAATGAGAATGTGGCTCAAACATAAGCTTACGTTAAAACTCAAAAGTGAGTCAATCCGGGCCGGACCGGCCCGGAAAAGGCCGTCCAGTGAAACACTATAAAATCACCATAATCTCTCTCTCCTCCCCTCACACACAGAGAGACCCAAAATACACATTCGTTTCCTCTCTCCCTCCCTCACGCACAAACGCAGTACAAAATGTGTCAGCAAACATCCATGCCACTGTCCTGCAAGTGCAATTCAGACAATATGTTAACCTCTTTGGTTCCCGAAACCTCAACATCTAACCTAAAACAACCCGAAAAGCCCACAAATCAACAAACCCAGAAACCCCCTAAAACTACACATCTTTCTCAAGTCATTCAGGAATACAAATCCATAGCAAAAATAGCCCTCCCCATGATCCTTACCGGCCTTTTACTTTACTCTCGCTCTATGATCTCCATGTTGTTTCTTGGCGTGCTTGGCGACCTAGCCTTAGCCGGAGGTTCGTTAGCCGTTGGTTTTGCTAATATCACTGGCTACTCGATCCTCTCCGGTTTAGCCATGGGAATGGAGCCCATTTGTGGACAAGCTTTTGGCGCCAAAAAGTACAAAGTTCTTGGCCTTAGCTTGCAAAAAACAATCCTTTTACTTATTCTCACTTCATTTCCAATAGCTGTTTTGTGGGTCAACATGAAAAATATTTTACTCTTATGTGGCCAAGATGAATCCATTGCAACACAAGCTCAAGCATACTTGTTATATTCACTTCCTGATCTTTTTGCTCAATGTTTACTACACCCTTTAAGAATCTACCTTAGAGCACAATCTATTACATTGCCTTTAACATTTTGTGCGGTCTTTTCACTTCTTCTGCACATACCCATAAATTATCTTCTTGTTTCAAGGCTTGGTTTAGGTATCAAAGGTGTTGCACTAAGTGGTGTTTGGACTAACTTCAATCTTGTCGGATCATTAATTGTCTACATATTTTTCTCCAAAGTTTATGAGAAAACATGGGGAGGGCTATCCAAGGAGTGCTTGAAGGACTGGAAATACTTGCTGAATTTGGCCGTTCCTAGCTGCATTTCGGTCTGTCTTGAATGGTGGTGGTACGAAATCATGATTTTGCTCTGTGGATTATTGTTGAACCCTAAGGCAACAGTTGCTTCAATGGGGATTTTGATACAAACCACTGCATTAATCTACATATTCCCATCTTCTGTTAGTTTCAGCGTTTCAACCAGAGTAGGCAATGAAATAGGCGCCGGCCGGCCGGAAAATGCGAAACGTGCAGCTATTGTAGGCCTTTCCAGCAGCTTCATACTAGGGTTTTCAGCACTGTTTTTCACAGTATCAGTAAGGAACAATTGGGCTAAACTTTTCACTCATGACAGAGAGATTATTGCATTGACATCATTAGTTTTACCAATTATAGGATTCTGTGAACTTGGAAACTGCCCACAAACAACAGGCTGTGGGGTGTTGAGGGGAACAGCTAGGCCTAAAGTTGGAGCAAACATTAATTTGGGATGCTTCTACCTTGTCGGAATGCCAGTGGCAGTAGGTTTAGGGTTCTTCCTTAACTTTGATTTTGAAGGGCTGTGGCTAGGACTTTTGGCTGCACAGGCCTCATGTATGGTGACAATGATGGTGGTTTTGCTTCTTACAGATTGGGAATTTGAATCCAAGAAAGCCAAAGAACTCACTGGATCATCCATTGTCGAAGACACTGAAGAAATTGAGGAAGAGAAGCCACTTCATGCGCAGGACTCGACCGTATAACAACGTAATAATGTCCATTGCTATCCAATCTAGAACGGAAGAAATCAAGGAAGAATGTTTATATAAATAAGTTGATGATTTTTTGTTGTTAAAATGTAACGTAGGTAGGGTAGTTATTATTTATTATTTTTGGCTTGTGTTTGTCCCAGATTTTCAAAACTTGATAACTCAACGTTTTAAAACCAAATACACAAAGTAGAAATAACAAGCAATAAACAAACACAACGAATTTTTGGTCAAAGTCCCTATGGGTTCGGAGATCGCTATCTAATGCCTGATTCCCCGTTGATCATCCTTTAGGATTAAGCTCAAATCAACTAATACCACCAAAAATAGGCAAAATTCCGATTACAAGAACACAAAGTTTTGAGATCTCTTTCAATTACAGAAATTTTCTCAAGAACGTTTAATCTCGCAAAAGAGAACATCACTAATATTTTCTCACTTACAATAACATTTAGTATGTACATAGAAAATCACTCCAAAGAATATACAGGATGAAGAATCAAGAGAAAGCTGCGAGATTTCCAATAACCAAACCCTAAAGTCATCAGCCAGCATTTATATTAAACAAGGCCAATTTATCATCCAATGGTGTATATTCAGCCACATGTCAGTCATCCATTAAAAAACGCCTTTCTAATTAAAAAAAAACGTATTCAACTAATTTCCAAATTCTTTTACCTATTGGATCAACATTTGGACCGACAAATTGGACCATAATAACAATCCAACCGACAGCAGATAGGCACACATTTTGGGCCTCAAAAAATTCAGCAACCCAACTTCTACATTTTCCACATTTGCTATATTTTGTGACTGTACTTTAAGATTGAAACCTAATCACCTGAACTTCATGTGCTTTTATTACTTGTTCAAAGAAATGAGAAATTAGCAAACTTCAAGGTTCAATAATCTCAAATAATCAATGAATTTACTAAGTGGTATTACCTTTGTACCTGCATCAACATGATTTACTTTAGTAGGAATTTTGATCAAATTAATATCACTTTTATCAATTATATCTCTAATAAAATGAAATTTAACATGTATATGCTTAGATCTATCATGAAAACTTGGATTTTTGCTTAAAAAATGGCATTTTGATTGTTTGAACAAAGCTCCACCTGATTTACCATAAGTCCCAATTCATTTAATAAGCTTTTTAACCATAAATTTTCTTTATTGCTTCAGTTGCAGCTAGTGAAGATAAATCAACTAGTTTCTGAAGTTGAGACTTTTGACTAATGCATCCATCTTTATCACATAGAAATATGCAGTTATAGATTTCCTATTATCTAAATTTCCAGTAAAATCAGAATCAACGTAACTTTTCAGTTTAAGACTATCTTTATCAATACATCCAACTTTATACAAGGATTGAGCATGATATATTTCGACAACGTCATAAAAAGTGTCTAAGTATACTTGAACCATCAAGGATACAATTTGTGACATCCTATATGATCATATTATTTTATATTATTTTTACAAATTAAAACATGCGAATAATCGAATATTAATTCATAATGCCGATCACAAATATTACTTGAAGGGCATCAAACTAGCGATCTCGCACATGCTCTTTAAAGTATATGCGACAAGTCAAGAGTACTCATCCTCTTAAAATGCCCATCAACAACCTTAGCTGGTAAGCTCTTAGTGAACGGATCTGTAAGATTATCTCTTGATGCAATCTTGCTAACTATTATGTATCCTCGATGAACAATCTCTCTAACAAGGTGTTATTTCCTCTCAATGTGCTCGCCGTGCTGGTGATTCCCTGGTTCTTCAACGTTAACAACTGCTACATTATTATCGCAATAAAGTTTTATGGATTCCATTGTCAAAGGTACCATGTCAGGGACCAAAAGAAACTTCTTGAACCATATAGCTTCTTTAGCAGTAGCTACATATTCTGCCTCCATGGCGGAATCAGCAATACAAGACTGTTTGATGCTTTTCCATGCCATAGTTCCACCCTATTGTGTAAATATTGAACTCGATGTAGAACTTCTAGAGTCACTATCTAATTGAAAATCAGAATTAGTATATCCAATAAGATTCAGATCATATCCTGAATGGACAAGCATATATAATTTCTTGTTCTTCGGAGATACTTGAGTATATGCTTCTTCGCTATCTACTGTTTTGGTCCCAAATTAGATTAATAATTACTAACAATACCCACAACATAACAAATATCTGGTATAGTACAAAACATAGCATACATGAGGCTCCCAACAGCTAAAGCATAACGAACCTTCTTCATGTAATCTATCTCTATTGGAGTATTGGGAAAATGCTCTTTAGATAACCATGTAAAAAAGGAAGTTATCCGTTTTTGAAATTTCGCATTACAAATCTAAATAATATGTTGTTAATATATTAAATTTAGGATAATGCTATCTGCCTGTTTTTCCTATCTCGTAAGTATGGATTCCCAAAACATATTTAACTTCTCCCAACTCCTTTATATTAAACTGTTGTGACAATAATTTATTTACATATGACAATGTTCCCACATCATTTCCAATGAGTAGAATGTCATCCACATAAAGAATTAGAAAAATTACTTTATTTCGTTGTATATGCTTGCATACACATGGCTCATCTAGATTTTGGTCAAAAGGTCTTAATGGTTTGATCAAATATGACATTTCAAGATCTGGACGCTTGCTTAAGTCTATAAATATACCTTTTCTAAACTTTCCTTTCATAGCCTTCTTTTATGAACCCCTCAGCTTGTATTATATAGATGGCCTCATCAAGATGTCTATTTAAAAATACTGTCTTTACGTCCATTTGTCAAACCTCAATCATAATGAACGACAATGGATAAAATGATTCAAATAGATTTAAGCAAGGCAACCAGTGAGAAGTTTTCTCATAATCAATACCTTCTCTTTAGGTAAGACCCATGGCTATTAGCATTGTTTTGAAGGTTTCAACCATCCCATCTATTCCACTTTTCGTTTTGTAGATTCATTTGCACCCTATAGGTTTTATCCTATTAGGTGAGTCTACAAGATTCCAAACCATGTTGGAATACATAAATTCCATCTTCGAGTTCATAGCAGATTTACATGATTTAAAATCTATATCCTCCATTGTTTCTTTAAACGAAATGGGATCCTCCTCTTGCTTAGTAGAGATTGGCTAATAGGACTCTCCATAGAGCAAGTATCTAGAAAATGGTCTCATAACCCTCCCACTAAGAGTAATTGTTGGAGGTGCTTGATCGTTCTGTCTGACTAAAGGTTTTTCCTCTCCTTCCATTGCTTGGTCCTGTCCTTGGTCAGGACCAATTTCCCCATTATCTATATCGTGAAAGGCATGTAAATGTACAACAATGGGTACCTCGTTCTATATACTTATCTTCCAAGAAGATTGCATTTGTACTAACAAATACTTTGTTATTTAGAGGACAATAGAAGCAGTAACCTCTTGTTCCTTTTCGATCTTCTACAAAGAGATAAACCTCTTATCTTGATTCGATCTTATTCATCTTTCCTTTTAGCACATGTGGCGGACATCTCTATATTTGAATCTGGTATAAATTAGGCTTAGGCCCATTCTACAATTCAAGAGACATCTTGGAAACTAACTTAGACGGTGACAAATTCAAGATGTAAATAGCCGTTTGTAGTGCATATCCCCAAAAGGAAATAGACAATGAGGAATAACTCATCATTGATTTAATCATATCTAAAAGAGTTCAATTTCTTCTTTCAGAGATCACAATTCTATTGAGGAGTCTTGGAATAATCCATTATCTAATAAGTAGAATTTAAACTCTTGGGATAGATATTCGTTAACTCGATGGGATAGAAGGGCCTTGATACTCTTACTTTATTGTTTCTCAACCTCCATCCAAAATTCCTTGAATTTCTCTAGAGCTTCGAACTTGTGAGATATAAGGTATATGTATCCAAATCTAGAGTAATCATTTGTGAAGGTGATGGTGTACTTATATCTCTCTCAAGCCAGAGTACTAATGTGTCCACAAATATCAGAATGTATCAATTTTAAAACTTCTTTAGCTCTTAGTCCCTTAACCTTAAAAATCCTTTTGATTATCTTACCTTTTATACAAGATTCACAAGTCGGTATAGATTCCACCTCTAACTCAGTTGGAAGTCCATCATTCACCAATATTTGAATCTTATTTAGATTAATATGGCCCAGCTTAAGATACCATAAGAGAGTTTCATTAGTACTAGATAACTTCTGTTTTTTACTAGCAATAATAGTGTTATATATAGAGCCAATATTAATACTTAAGCCTTAGAGACTATTAATCATATGGCTCGGACATATAACATAATTATTTAACTTAATAGCCACCATAGAAATGGTAAAAAGTACCGAATAACCAACATAATATAAAAGTGCAACAAAAAGTAAGCTTCATCTATATTCGGGAACATAATAACTGAAATTCAAAATCAAATGTCGATGATTTTCAAAATATAAAGTAAAGGTGCCAACAGCTTTAAAAGACACTACTGCTCATTTGCTAACTCTTGGAGTGTACTCCCCTTCAATGAGGTGCTCGGTTACTTGGAACCCTTTACAAATAATTGCAAATAAGATTAGTAGCTCTAGAATCTATAATCTAGGTATTAGTAGAATCAACCATTAAGCATGACTCAATGAATAGAGCATTGCATTTACCTTGCTTCCCCTTAGCTAGGTCATCTGGACAATTCCTCTTCCAATGACTCTTTTGTCCATAAATAAAACATTTTCCTTCGGCTTTCTATCGACAGTAGTTTTTTCCCCTTTGACTTGTCATCTTTCTTTTTGTTTGGTCTCTTGTCTTCTTTTCCCTTTTGCCACCAGAAGGCTTAGAATGAGAGGGTTTGGTTATCACAATCAAAACGTCTCTACTTTTGGCCTTTAGAACAGATTTTGCGCTTTAAAGCTCCTTAATTAATTTTGTTAGAGACATGCTCATTTTGTGTAGATTGTAATCAACTTTTAATTGTGAGAACTTC